TTAAATATGGCGTACAATTAAAATTCGCAAGAGTGTATAACAAGTACGCAAGAAGGAACAGAAAGGAAATAAACAGGAGACTGTCCAGACAAGGAAAAGGTAAAGAATAAAAATAGAAACAGCAAAACGCAGAGAAAGTCGCTGTAACACTAAGTAAAAAGATCCTATTACTCTCTTGGCTCAAATATTGTTAAAATCACTGACTGCTCCTACTGCTGACACAACTGAACCCTGACTCCTTGTCTTGCCTAATTCTCCTGCCCACCTCCGTTTCCCATACAAGTGAAGCCCCATCTGCAAAGCATCTCAATGTGCCCGAGCTCGCCTGAATGCACCTCACATGGACCTGTGCTGGTGCCTTCACTCACCAGCCCCTCACCCACGACATTCGCTGCCATCCCTCCCTGCTCTAACACTTGCAGACATAATAGCTGAAAAAAGAGGGGACTGACCCCCAACAACTCACTGGTGGGAATGCAAAATGGTATAAACCACTTTAGAAAACAGTTTGGCAGTTCCTTAAGCTAAATACAGAGTTACCAAATGACTCAGCAATTCCACTCTCATGGAAAAATGCCAAGAAAAACGAAACCATATGTCCACACAAAGACCTGGGCACAAAGACTTCACAGCAGCATGATTCATAAAAGCCTAAAGTGGACACAATCCACAAGTCTACCAACTAGTGAATGGAGAAGCAAAACGTGGTCTATCTACACGATGGGCGAGTTCAGCAACAGAAAGGAGCTAATTACTGACAGGCTACAATATAGATGCACCTCGAAAACCTAAGTATAAGTGAAAGCCAGAGGCACAGACTGAATGACTCCTTTACATGAAATGTCCAGAGAAGGCAAATCTGTATAGATAGAAAGTAGATTAGTAGTTGTCTGGGTCTAGGAACAGAGACAGACTGCAAATAGGCACAGGGGATCTTTTTGGAATAACAGAAATATTCTAAAATTTGATTGTACTGATGGTTACACAACTCTAAATTTTTCTAAAAATCATTGAGTTTTATGGGTGATTTTTATGGTGTGCAAAATATACCTCAATAAGGCCCTTTAAAGAAAAAAAAATCTCACCAGATACACAGCCATTCACGGGGCACTTGTGTGTCCCCCACCATTAAGGTTTGCGAGATTCTATGGGTCACAGGGTAGAGGGGCACCCACACCGGCATCTTTGGCTCTGCCATGCATTTATGTTCTGGGGCCTGAGTCCTGGGGTGCCAGTCAGGGTCTTCCAGCCTGAAACTGCTCCTTGGCTCACTGCCATCGCATTCACGTCAAAGTGTCAAGTGGCAAAGAGCTGAGGTGCCCACAGCCTGGGGTATGTGCAGGTACTTCAGGTGGCCTCAGTATTTCCTCCACGGCAAACTCCCGACCCGGTCTAGCCCAACTGAGCCCAGGTTGGATGTGGCTGACATTCTGAAAACAGGATTTCACGACAAATCACATGAACAAATAACAGTCAGCGTGATTTTGACAACCCCGAGATTTCAGGAACTTTGAGAAAGAGGACAAAGGGAGGAGAAGAAAGGAGCCTGGATATAGGATCTCTGTTGAAATGTACTGAATTCACACGAAAATAAGAAAATCTGCTAAGTAAATTGCTAATACAAAAAATATTTAAGGCACTGTTAAACCTACTTAAGAACCACCCACTGGAAACACCTCCTGATATCCAAGGACAGATACTCCAAGTGTCATTCATTCTTAGTCATTAGCGGAAGCCAATGAGATTTCAAATTGCAGCAAATTGTAAATCTAACTCAAATTGCCTTTCCTCTTTTATTTTAACATAGTTACAACCGAACTTCTTTATAAAGTTTAAGTCTTGCTAACAACTATACTGAGGGCGTGCTGTCTTCTATCGTATTCATAGAAGTACTCAATTTTAGTTCTGCAAATCGTAATAAACTAATATCTAATCTCAGAGTAATTGTTTCTAAATTTGTACACTCATACTAGCCACCACACTCTCAACATCTGCAATTGAGACCTCGTTATTTGGGGATTTATGACCAAAGGGCCCCATCACTGAAAGCCTTTATGAAAATCATCCCTTGAGTAAAATGGGGGAAATTTTGGAAGCAAAAACAGAAACAACTTTCTAAGCACTTTCCATTCCTCTTTATATTCAAATAACATGCTGATTATAAGAAATCTTATCATTAAAAATCAATACTGTTTAATTTGAAGGTACTGAAAATGGTTTCTTTTTATCATATCGTATAATTTCTGATTAATGTTAATTAATTGGGTAGAACAGCCTCTTTTTATATCCTTCACCACAGTGGTTCTCAAACTTTTTGATCTCAGGACCTCTTTCCACTCTTAAAATTTATGGAGGACCTCAAAGAGCTTTTGTTTCTGCAGGTTATATCGATCTATATTTTCTGCACTGGAAATTTAAACTGAGAAAATTTTAAAATATGCCTTACTTTAAAAATAATACTAAGCTCACTGCATGTTAATATACATCTTTTGTTAATCAGACATACCTATCTTTTCAAAAATAAAAAAAAAAATTAGTGAGAAGAGTGGCGCTGTTTTACATTTTGCAAATCTATTTAACGTGTTGCTTAATGGAAAATACCGAGATTCTCATACCTGCTTCTACATGCAACTTGTTGGGATTGAACTACATGAAGAAAATCCAGCCTCGCATAAATATGTAACTGGGAAAGGGAAGAGTATTTTAACGGGCTCTTCAGATAATTGTGGTCACTTTTCTTTGATACTACACCAAAACTTGACAAGCGATAGCTGAAAGGTTAGCTGCAGTGCGGAATCTGAAACCTCATCAATGAACTTGCGTACTGTTACATTCAAACCCACTGGTTTATCTTGCACAGTATCAAAAAATCACACTTGTTAATATGACTGTGTGGATCTCATCAGAAAAGTCTTTTAAGTATTGGGAAGCTGTCAAGTTCACTGAGGCTGATATGAGATTCCCAAAATTCCTATTTTTCACTTGAAAGCTCAAATTTTATCTTTGGCAACAAATACTGTCAGTTTTTTTCCTTGAGGTAGCAGGCAGCTCACTGCATTCATTTTCAACGTGTACTCCAGGTTCAAGATGTCATACAATTCACAAAGAACATTCTTGGCGTGACCGGTTTTTTTTCTGTTTTATCTTTTTTAAACTGTGTGTGCATATGAGCCTGACTGAGCTAAGGCTTCAGTGGTTCATCCTATCGCTTTAGAAGCACCAGTGTGCATATCTGCAGAGTGCAAAAGGCAAACGATGTCTCCGTGTCATAATGAAAAGAGTTCTGATCTCACCAGCCCAGTGAAAGGATATTGAGGAACCCCCTTGGAGTCCACAGGCCACACTTTGGAAACTGCTGTGTTACCACATAATAACTGATCCCCAACCACCATTCAAATCACTGGGTGGCAGCCACCAATTCAGAAAGGGGAAGGTAGTGTGATTGCTTTTCAGGCTGCCCACATGTATCATCAGCCCCAAGAACATTAATATAAGTAGAACGCTACTTCCACAATCCAGGTTCAGTGTGGAAGCATGAAAAATGAAATCTAGTTACCAGGCAAAAATAAAAGAAACAAACTAAATTTAATATGTAAGTTTCCTCCCAAGGAATTTAAAACATGAATTTTTCCTTAATTCACCCCCCATTTCTTGGGCTTTTTTGTGCAAGGCACTTGCTTAGTATTGGAGATACAGACAGTCCTCAGTGACTGACCCTGCGGCCAGGGTCCACGGGGCATGGAGCAGCCAGGAAACAGGGCAGAGGCACTCAAGTCAAACTGATCTGACTTCAAGCCCCAGGGCCCCATCCTCCGTGTAGCCTCTCTTTTGTAATCTCTGGGCCTGTTTTCTTAGCTGGATATGAGGCAAATTCCACTTAACGCTGTGAGGACTGGAGGAAACGCATGTCATGTCAAGCGTTATCGCAGCTCCCAGCACACAGCAGGCGTTCAATCAGTGGTGCCCACTATTATGAATAAGGTCCGCTGGAGGCAGTCGGAGCCCAGAGAGGAGTGGGACACACATCCAAATAATTATGACACAGCACGGAAACTGATTAACTACAAAATGCGATGGGAATAAAAGAAAAATCAATGGTCTGTTTCAGTGAGGAAGGGGTTGTAATAAAAGAAGGAGGGGCTGGCCCAGTGGGAGAGGCAGGAAAGGGGAACAGGGCCTCCAGACACACACAGAGGCTGGGCAGAGGACGCACAGCAAGAATGCCCCAGAACAGCTCATGTAGAGCCATTAATGCCATGCTAACGGGTGCAAACATTTGAAGCATTTTCTTTTTGTTCTCGTCAAGACTGGGGACTTTTATAACTTTCAATGCCAGCAGGTCCTCTGGTCTCCTTCTGCCCCCAACCCCCCAGTATGCACCCATCATACTCATGCCTGCTCTAACATCTGTGACCCATCAGCAGTCCCCTGGCCCGAGCCTGACTAGTGGAGGAGATACAGCAAAGTTCCTCTCGGAGGCCAGGGAGCATCACAAGCCCCAGTAGCCAGGGGGGATTTGTCCTTGTTGTTTTAAAGCACAAATGAGGCACATACTGGGCAAGGCCATTTTGTATTCTCTCTGACACTTACAAAATCTTGAAGCATGTAACTTTATCTTCATCCCAGCCCCATCTTTGCCTCAGGTCCTATGCTCCAGTGGAATTTATAGGTCGCTTTGCTTAATGGAGTGAGAAGAAACAGAAAGGGGGTCTAGTGCCCCATGATTTCCACTGTGCCTCCAGCCATCTGTGAAGCCTTTTGTTCATTGCGTGAGTGAGCCCCGAAGCCCAAAGAGGCTGCCCATCTCTCTTGCTCTTTGGCAGAAACAGCAAATGCCGCCTGGCTCACAGGTTTGAGTCTGTGATCCCTCGGTGATCCTGAGGATGCACACGAAGGTGCAGTCAGCGTGAATCCATGGCCAGCTGTGCTGCTCCACGCTCACGGACGGGACGCGACCATTCAGACAAAAACCACTGAAATCACAGCAATGTCTTACTCACCCAGAATTTTACGAGGAAGAAGGCATTTTGAGGGCCCTTTCCAAACAGTTCCTTTAAGCCACCTTTCTTTTCAGGAAATTTGTCATAAATCTGACGAATGTCCACTGATTCGAGCAATGGGTCACTGTAAGAATGGTTGGCATGCCCAATGTGCACGAAGAGGTGTTTGTTGTACTGTAAGAAACCAACAGAAACATTCCCATTACAAACCCTTTGATCAACCTGAGACTCATCCATCTTGAACTGGATAAAGAGCGGTAATCTGGAAATCCCAGAATTAGGCCTTGAACGGCCCAGGGTCTGTGCCTTTGAAGAGACGAAGATGTTAAGAAAAGCAGTAATAGCTTAGGGTTAAAACAATCATTGTCTTTTTATTGACAGGGGCATATATTTTCCCAAATGCCTAAAAAAAGGCTTTTTGCAGACACAGTAGTAAACAACAGCTTAAGTTACCCAACTACCAAACCATGGAACAATTCCATCACCCAGTTTCACCTGACTCAACAGAAAGTGACAACAGCTCCCTTTGGAGCCCATTATTTACAGTGTAAGCCCAATAAGAAGTATGTGTGTGGTTAGCTAACGTCATCACCTGGAATGCACTTCGCACTATAGCTCCCCTAGCAACAGCATGGATGCAGGGCTCTGAGCAATGGTAACCACCTACTTCTTCCAGCAGGAGTAAGAGTGCTGAGCCTCTTTCTCATCAGTCCCCTTAGTAACCAATCTAAAACTTCTGCATAAGGGCTGGTCAATAGGTGACTGTCAACGCAAAGTCAGGGGTATACACCAAGGAGAGGATCGATGGTACAAGGATATCTGAGGCCGGTAAAAAAAAAAACACAGGCTACTCCTTCATGAAAAAACAAACAAAAAAAACCAAAACCTTGTTAAGTCATTTAACTGACACAGGAAATCCTTTCTTCTCTTTGCTGTGATATAAGATATGGTAACTGGACCACAAAGAAGTGTGTCCAAATCAATCCAAATCAATGGTTCTCAACCCAGGTTGCAGAATCACCAAAGAGCATTTAAAAATCACCAGTGCCTGGACCCCACCTAGACTAAATTGGAATCCCTGAGAATGAGGCCAGGCATCAATAATTTTTTTTTTGCCGAGGAAGATTCACCCTGAGCTAACATCTGTTGCCAATCCATTTTTTTTTTTTTTTTGCTCAAGGAAGATTAGCCCTGAGCTAACATCCATGCCAATCTTCCCCTACTTTGTATGTGGGTTGCTGCCATAGCATGGCTGATGAGTGGTGTTGGTCCGTGCCTGGGATTGGAACGCACGAACCTTGGCCACCAAAGCGGAGCACAGCAAACTTAACCACTATGCCATGGGGCTGGCCCGGATAGTTTTTAATGCTCCTTCACTGAATTCCACTTGCCTAGACTCTACTCCAGACCTTCTGGGCCTGCCTCTCCTGCCGAACAGACAGTAACATCAACCTAATGTGACACACACAAAGATGTGGGGGGTGCAGGGGTTCCAGGGAGCTCAGAGCCCAACAGGGTTCATATGAGAAACCCCATGTCCCTATTCGCCTAGCAGTCTCTATTCACTTTTCAAGTTTAAATTGGCATTTCTCCAACTAGAGTCCTTCTGAGTACTGATCCCACAGGAAACGAGAAATCCCACATAAAAGGAAGCTTAGTCAAAGCTGCCTAGTGGAAGAGTACTGAACGCTGGTTAAGAGTATGGGGTCTGGACTCAGCCTCTGCTCAAGCACAAAACCTGTGCCCACTGCAACTTAGCTCTGACACTGGACAAGTGCCTCCCTCGTCTCTAAAATGGGGACAGCGATGCGTCTACCTCCTAGGGCTGCTATAAGGTTCAGTGAGATACTGCACATGAAGAGCTTACTCGAGCTCACAGACTCAACAAAGAGTAAACGATAAATGCTAGCTAGCTATTAGTATTTTTTTAAATAAAATCTCCCCTCTTTGAGATTCACAGTGAATATTCACATATTAAAAGCACTGCAGTTAAGAAACATTTTTTAACTTGGTATAACCTAAAGTTTCCCAAACTCATTTGGTCACAAAACCCTGAAAATACATCCTGAAGAAATGCTGGTTTAAATCCATGACCTGCTACCCATGCTGTGGATCTCTGGCCAGGTGCCGAAGGGCAGGAGGCGTGACACCCCATCCGATGCCAGTGGTCCACAGTGCTGCATATATGGGGAGTGTGGCCAGGGCCCAGCATCTTCTGGGAGCAGGCTCAGCCCCTCTCCTGTTCAACATCTGAGTGATATCTTTACCAAGGCTTCAAAATCCCTAAAAGCTATCAGGTGAAATGAAAAAAAGGAACCTATCTAGCTCTGATGTGAACCCAGCCTCTGTTCCAGCTACCAGGGAGATTTCAGGTAAGACGGAGCCCTGGGAACTACTATGCAAGAACAGAGTATGCCTCTGCTGGAAGAGAATTTAAAAAAACAAGGTAAAAGCTACTGCTGGGTTAGGGAGGCGAGGTCATGGGGTACGGCAGAGTGCCTTTGATCTTTCTGTAAATTTTCTCAAACATTGTCACATCTTTTCAATTATAGCAAACCAAAGCGCACAGAAATGTCTGAGGCACTGCTGTTACAGAGCTTCCAGTCTCATTAGTGGGCAAAAGGAGAAAAAATAACACAGGCAAAGCTGGGGGCACAGACACTGGTGTGAAGGCAATCAGAGATGAGAAGATGAATGAGGAGCACACGCCTCGTGTCTGGCTCCTCTGCTCATCCTCGAGTTACCCTCCATTACAGGAGCTGAGGGCAAAAGGCATCGTTCCTTCATTATCCAGACGACTGGCCGTCCGCATGTCCATCCATCCAACCCTTACTAGGAGCCTCTCTGCTTGCAGCAGGCTCTCGGCCCTACCCAGCTCTGGGAGGCATCCTCCCTCTCATTTCTCGTGCCACCTGGAGGCAGTGAGTGTATGGGAAAGAACGGAATACAAGCAGAGCCTTGGGGACACGTGTGGGTACAATCTGAGTTTCTCTGTTGAGCACCACGCTCTCAGCACTTCTGCCTCGCCAGCGTATGGGGCCCAGGCAGAGCCAGGGGGAAGGTAAGAAGCTGTGAGACTTGGAGTCTTATACTGCTGGAACTCGGGGATCACAACCTGGACCTCTCCTTGTCAAGAGGTCAGGAAAGTGAATGGAGGGTAAAGGTGACCACATTTCTATGGGGACTATGAAGATACAGCTGAAAAGATGTTGAGTGCAAAGCACCAAAACTCTGGAGCCAGACAAGAACCTGAAATCTCAGTTTTCTCATATGTACAATGGGGATATAATACTTGTAATAGGGAACAGGTTTGAAGATGAAAGGAAATAATGCTCAGTGGGTGCCTGGCATAGGGCCTAGCACATAAGAAGTGTTCGATAAATGGTAGCTGCTAAGATTACTATTGTTGTGGTTTACTATTATGTGAGATTAACTAGATCCTGGGGTAGAAGCAAAAGAACTTTCCTGCTTTTAGCTATCCCTCCTACCTAGCAAAGAAAATATAAACACAATTAAGCCAAGAGCTGGGAGCAGGTTGTAAAGCTGTGTGACTGTTCAGATCTTTGCTTACGGCCCACTCATTACAAGCTTCTCGGGTGTGGGCCTCTCACCTGTGTCTGAAGGAAGGAAAAGAACTTGTGTCCATTCAGTGTCATGTGCAATGTGCTTTCTACGTATGTGACCTCAGGTAAACCTTGCCTCACAATGTCACTGTAGGTGGATTTTATTAAAATCATTTTACAGATGAGGAAATAGAAGCTTAGAGATGAACGGACTTGCCTGAGGTCACATTCAGGAATAGTCCTGGAGTTAAGAATAAAACTTGGATCCGTCAGCGCCAGAGCTCACGCATTTGTTGCAAACATCAACCACACCATCTCCCAGAAGAAAATGTCTAGACCCTTCTAATTCAGATCTACTTTTCCTGCAAGTTGATTTGAGAAAGAAGAAAAAAGCTAAATAGTGTTTTCAAAATTCTAAGAAGTTAAATTAGAATTCAGGATAAACATAATGATTTACAGATGCATCAGATAGAGCCTTCAAAGGTTTCTATTTTGAGGAAGTTACCTTTGTGCCCAAATGGCTGAAATGCACGGAGAAGGGGCAGGCTGCCTTTGCCAAAGGAAATCGGGCACGGCCTCTCCAAGGCTGGTGACTTGAAACCAAACCCTGACTCTTGGCATCTGAGTGGCTTTATTCCTGCCAAGAGGTGACTCTGTTTCTAAGAATACAAAGGACCAAAGAAGGTGTCCTGGAGACCACAGCATTGAGACAAACAGACCTCCCTCTCCCCTAAATTCAACCTGGGTAGGTCAGGAACCCCTCTGCCTCCACATCCAGAAGCTGAAAAGAAGAAATCTACCTGATATGTGTGGGTTCAAGTTTTAATGAAATTAAAACTCTAAAACCATTTGGTGAGGCCCTAACTCCCTCGCATCCTGCCAGTTCTCCTTTTAAGGACAGAAGCCGGGGTGGATATCTTCCCTCCATCCCTCCCAAATAAATCCCATTTTCTTTCCAGCAGTGGTGGTGTCCCCCAAACTAAAGGTGGAACACAAAACCAAAAAAGGGCAATTATATTCTATAGGGCAGAAAGCAAATATTTGCAAAAACAACAACCACCAAAAATCTCAAGTATTGGGGGCAATGTATAGCAGAAACAGGGTGAATGTCAATGAGTCACGTATACCAAAGCCTAAGACTGAATTTCCTTGATATCCAAAACAGAGGTTACCATTGGCTTGTTCAATTACAAAAAAGTCTCCTAGGCACTCAGTAGATATGTGGATCATCAACATATCAATGACAACAACAGAAAAAGTACTCACTGTATATTTCTTTTATGGATTTCAGTAGAACAAACCAGCACACCTATGATCCATTTTATGCCAGGCACTGTGCTAGGCACCAGGGATCCATGAGTTAATAGTACAAAGTCCCTGCCTTCATAGAACCTACAGAATGACGGCTGGAGCTAGCTTATTGCCTCTATAGTCAGCAACACGTTGCTCAAGTAAATACATGTTCTCAAAGATTTCTGTAGAGAAGATTGGGATGAAAGACAGTCAACATTCCCTCTCTTGCACATCACATGACTTAAATCATCATATACTTGCTCTTTTTTATATGGATGACCGTATTCTCCAGCACTAAACACACAGTGTTACTCATTA